TCGTTGATTTGGACACGTATCACAATCCCTTCATCATCACTTGGTGAATAACTCCTTACCCAACAGCATTGTGGGAGCTACTCAGGGAAGATAACTGCCAGCAGCAAATGGTCAGGCAATGTTCAGCTGTAAACACCTCATTTAGAGAGTCAATGGCAGTAACAATAAAATACCTACTCAGAGATAGTAAGAACTGCCGATGCTACAGTCAGAGATAACACCTTGTGGAGTTGGAGGAACACAGCAGGCCAGGCAGCATCAGAAGAGCAGGAAAGCTGACGTTTTGGGTTGGGACCCTTCTTCAGAATTTCTGAATAAAAAACCTGAGTTAAGGGAGACAGAGGAGGTTAGAGAATGGCAGAGAGTTAATCAGGGAGAGCAGAGATGAACCAGAACAATGGATGGTCACTGATTCAGGACTGTTATAAAGCAACTTTTGACACCAGTCACATAATGAGATATTAGGTGAGTGATGAAATGGGTTGCACCAACACCAGAGTCAGATAATTGAGAACAGTACATGAAGCAAAATGTGTACATTACTGGTTAAAAATACTGAAATAATTTCATTGTCTTCAACTTTAAAATCAAATGCTGGAGTCTGCAGCTCAAAAGATATCAGAAGCACTGGGGTCAGAGGAAACCCACAGTTCAGGAAATACCCGGGAATCAGGGTGATGTCACTGAGCAATTGCCCGTGTGTGATAACATCACCCACTTGAACACAGAGCATTCGGGTCTGCACAAACAGGTGATCTCCACGAAGGACGTGAGGGTCTGTGGAATGATTGAAAGGACATTGATCAGAATGGTCAAAGAACTGAGGGATATTAGTTGTAAGGTCATGTTGGAGAAACTGAAGTTGTTCTGCACAAAGCAAAGGAGACTGAGGTGTTCTTTGACAAAGGTGTCTAGGTTTATGATAGATTTAGACAAGGTAGGTATAAAGCAGCTGTTCCTCTTCACTGGTAATAAAATTATTAGAGACATAGATTTAAGATATTGGGCAATTGTTACTGGGAGATGTAAGGAAGGAACTTTATGTTACTTTTATTTGACTCAGTACTTACATTCAAAGACCAATAATATCCAGTGCTGAATGAACGAAGAATGAAGTGGCATGCTTAGATTTTGCTGTGTCATTTGGTTTTGAGTTTCTGATCTGCAAATCCTTTTCCAACATGCCGTAAAAAGAATTTACAAAAGCTGTCTCAGTCAGTATGGGACATAATGACAGAGGAAGCAAATATTTCTGTGATTTGGAGTTTGCTGTGTATAAGTCCTCCTCTCCTTACTCCCAGTAAAAGGACTTTATAAACTCCATCCCTGTAGGTCAGGAGAGACATTTATAACATTCACTCCCCTGGCCCAGGATAACCGCACATGCACCGTGCTTCTCTTTGCCTCCTCCAAAGATGGTGGCCAACACCGGGGCATGTCGCGTATCGATTCATCCCATTTTATGAAATGGGGCTGGATAGATTCTTTATACGGGGTCTGTAACATTTACCACAGAGCATGCTCCATAACGTGGGTAGACGGGGAAAATACTGAGCAGATGTATGGTGAGCAATTCTGTGTATAGGAAATGTTCACTATCGCTCGGCATTCTAGGTTACCTGGCAGCCATTGTCAAATTTAAATTTATTTGTTTCTCGGTGTACAAGCAATCTCTCTATTTGTCTCCTATGGACCACTAATATGCACAGTACATATAAGAAAGAATAAAGCGTCACTTGTGCATCCCAGGGATATAACAAAGTCGGACACTGAACTGCATATTAAAGGGTAAGGTCAGGCCATACTCCATCTGAACTACAAGGCTGCTTTCTTATTAGAAAGAGACAACTGGTGATGGTTTAACCCAAGGGACACCACACCTCAGATGAACAGAGAGGTTGAAAAAGAGAGCTCTTAGCGGTAACTTCAAACGGTGTGAGATTTAAACCCACGCTGTTGGCAATAAGAGGAAAACTGACAAATTCTCCAAAAAGATTTTGGCTTTCAGAACTGTCTTCAAGGAGAAAGGTATACATTTTGTGTTCCAGCAAACAACAACTTTTCCTGTCATTGTTTGAAAGAGCTGTTTTTGTTCCACTGAAGCTGTCAAGACATGGAATAATTGGGTCAAGTACTGGAAACTGGGTTTAGAAGCGAGATGTTTGATGACTGACAACGATGTAATGGGCCAAAGAGCCTCTCTCCAGGCTGCTAAAAATTCAGTTACTCTATCATTTCTCAATTGAATAATAAAAAGGTAAAAAAGCAATGTCAACAAGAAAGGTTGCAAGCATTGCATGCACCTTCCTTGGTGCTTTAGTAGTTGGGATTCAGACCTCCCACTACTGTTCCCTAGGTTTGGTTTCGAGTCAAGGAATGAGGATTTGTAGTTCATGTACAAAATCTTAAAATGAACACAAATTCCTGACATTAAAACAGCAGAGAGATCTGTCAAAGTCAGTGAGAGTTTCACATCAGAGATGAAACCAAATGGAAAGAAGCCCTGAAATTCATTGCCTTTGTCTGCTCAGACACTGTACTACAAAAAAAAACTTGCTTCTTATTGAAACATACAGGTTTTTTGGAGAATTAAAGGGTTGGATTCAGAAAGGTTGGTTCCCTTCAAGGACAGTCTCGGACCAGAGTACCTCATATCAGAATGGGGTGATGCTTTTAAGCCGGAGACGAGGAAGAAATTATTCTCTCATATGGTTGTGAATTGGTGGAATTCTTTACAGCAGAGGTTAGTTGTGGCTGGGCCATTAAGTATATTTAAGGCTGAGATCGACAGATCTTTAACCAGTAAAGATATCAAGGGTTATAGGGAAAGGCAACAAAGTGCAGTTCAGGATTATCAGATCAGACACGAGCTCTTCAAATGGCAGAGAAGACTTGATGGTCTGAATGGTCTCTTTCTGTTCCTAAAATCGATGGTTTTAATATGAGACTGCAAAACTCTCCGCAGTAATATGTGCAAAATGAAAAATGCATGGAACCCCTCAGAACGCTGAACCGAGATGAGATGAGGAAAGGACAACACACAAATGCTCCCCCATCTCCTGACAGACTCCCTCTGCCTGTTAAATTCACCCTTTTTATGTTTATCTCTGTGTCTTTTAAAACTGGATTCTTATTTCATATCCACGACCTTTTCATCAGAACCAGGCAAAATTTCACGTGTTTGATGCCATAGGGAGAAGTGAAAAAATCTACAAGCTGTGGGGTGTGATTTTGGAAGGCAGAAGGGCGAGAAAAGGATGATAAAGAGAGAATGAGGAATGATAACGTTCAGATGATTTTGAACATCATTGTACATAATCTAGAGAATGTTACAACCCACAGACAAACAACAATGAGGAATGTAACAAAAACAGAAATTGCTGATTAAACTCAGTAGGTCTGACAGGATCTGTGGAGGGAAAGCAGGGTTACCGTTCTCGGGTCAGAGATCCTTCTTCAGAGCTCTTCAGAATGAGGAATGTAACTGTTCATTTGTCAAATAAATTGTCAAGTTCAAGTCTGTCCATCTGAGTGAGTTGGTGGTCTGTTTGGCCCCTTTGATATTGTGTGTATGTTAATGGTACATTGCTGTTTGTGGGTGTGTGGGTGTGTGTTTTTTTTCTGGCTGTCACATTCTGGGTGATGTGACACAGTGGAATTGTATAGCCAGGAGGGCCTGTCAATAAGTGTGCTCTCATTCAAAAGCAAGAAGTAACAAGTAACAATCTATATCAATTATGGGTTACCTGGTAGGAAATGGCAGAGTGGCGTAGTGGGAGCGTGCTGGGCCATCACCCAGAGGTTGCTGGATTGAATCCATCCTCTGCTGTTTACACCAACAAGCTGATAGTTGTTACCTTAGTAGTAGCAGCTAAGCTAATTTTGCTCACATTGTCTCTGCATCAGCTTCTTGCTCCCAGGAAAGACTTCAATCTGCATTAAACCACATTTATCCCGACATGGACACAGACTGTTCATGTTGCAAACACGCACCAGCTGATACTTTTCCCTTTCATTCAATCACTTTGTCACCAGGAATTAACAGTCTGGAATTGATGGTCCGAATGGCCATCTCCTATTCTCTATCACTCTGGAATGATCTGAACAGTGAAAGTTATTCTCCACAATAAGGCAATGCAACGGGGAGATGGCAGTGCAGTGGTGATATATCTCCTAGTAATCCCTGGAGACTGAGACACGGCAGCTGCTGGAGTTTAAATTCAATGAATAAAATTTGGAATGTAAACCTGATTTCAGGAATAAAGACCATGATTTTAACTTCCTGAAACCCGATTCATTCATGTCCCTTCGGGAGAGAAGTCCTCACCCAGTTTGGCATACAAGTGACTCCAGACCCACAAAAATGTGTTTGACCCCTAATTGTCCACTGCCATCAGTTCAAGGTGAATTCAGAATAAAGAACAAATGCTGTCCTGACCACTGATACCCACATCCTGTGGAAGAATAAAAACACATTCACAACAGGGAATGTTGGGCCTTCTGTCTGCGTGGACTCGATTCACCTGATCGCCCAACCTGGATAGAGACAAGGACACCCACACCACAGAGAAACCAGGCCTCCTGCAATCACAAGACCTTCCTCTGCATTCAGTATTATCCAACCAAGACAAAAGGAGAGTTCACGAGGGGCATATCAAAGGAAAGGAAGGGAACATTAAAACACAGAACAAGTAGGAATAAGCTTGGACAAGAAGTTCAGCACAGGGCCAAGAGTCAAATACAACCATATAAGGACATAGTTATTGTGGCTCAGGTAGTTTAACTGCATATCCATAACAGTGAACTGTCAGCAGTTGCTTCAGGTTCAGAGACCATCTGTACAGCTTAACATAGTCATGTAAGTATTACTCATAAGGGAAGGCTTGCGTGCTGTGAGCTGATGGTGGGGATAGAGAATCTTGGAAGATAATGTGGAACTGGAAGTTCTGTTGAAATTAGAGGACCCAGAACTTTGTAAGAAACTGAACAGCATCCTGTTCTTGAGGTTAATGACTGACATATAATTTATTTTATACCAATGTTACATGTAACCATTCTGACATGAAAGTGTCTTAATATGCTGTTTTGAGCTGTCAATGGTAGAGCGTCTCCGAGGTAAACTTAGAGGCCTCTTCCGCATTTATATGGTACAAGTTTGAATAAATTCACCTTGTTTCGATTTACTGAGATCGGAAGACGCAATCTTTTCAAAAACTGGCTATCAAAGGAAGAATAATTTTCTCTGATTCCCATTGACTTCAGCTTTGCTACTATTCCTTGATACAATGCTCTGTCACATGGAGCCTTAAGACAGTGGATAGTCAATCTCACATTTGGAATTCAGCCGTTTGGTCCATGTTTGCACCAAGAATGTAAGGAGATCAGGAGCTGAATGGCCCTTGCTTAACTCAAACTGAGATCCATGACCATGATATTACAAAGCAAGTGCTGCCTGATGTCACTGTTGTCACTGTTTTCACTGCATTTACATATTGACAGGCCAGACAATTGACTGAAGGCTTGTCCACACAGACCACATGTATGTTTTCTCTTCACTGTGAACGATGCTTTTTCCTTCCATGTGCAAAGCTCCTGAGAATTGAGTGTTACTGGCAGCTCTTGATCCAATGTTTGACTTGAGCTGCCTGTCTGTAAATTCTCCCTTTCCAATTCCCTGGAAAATAAATTTAAAACAGTCAAAAGTGGAAAGAAAGTTACTGGATTGTCAAAAACCCACTTGGATCATTCATGTCCTTGAAAGGACAGAAGTTGAAAAATACAGGACAGAACAGGCTGCCGGAACTGGCTGCAAGGCCAGTCATTATTTCTGCAGAGCCAGCAGAGTGGGAGGTTTGAGTGATCCCACAACAATGCTGTCGGTGTAACAATACAAACTGTACAACTATCTGACCATAACCTGTGTCAGTCTGTAATTGGGTAAATGTAAATGACCTAAGCTTGCTGAAAAAGCATTACTGTAAGCAAGTGGGAATTCATGGGCCACCTTCAGATACATGCAGTCCCCCCTTTGTACTGGTGAGACTTGCATCTGGAGTACTGTGTTCAGTTCTGTTCACCATACTGACAGAAGGTTGTTAATATGTTGGAAGCATTTCAGAGGAGATTTAATCAATTAATACCTAGAATGAGTGGATTACCTTTTGAGGAAAGGCTAGACAGGGTGGGCCTAGCATAAACAAAATTGAAACATAAAAGATGCTGACGGAGCTGACCAGGTGGATGTTGAAAACATGATCCCTCTTGTGGGAGAACTGAGGGCCATTGTTTAATGGTAAGGGTGAGTCCATTTGACATGGTGAGGAACATTTTTCTCAGATGGTTGTGAATCCTTGTAATTCCCTTCGTCAAAAGGCAGTGGATGCAGAATCTTTAAATTCTTTTTTGAGGCAGAGGGAGACAGATTCTTGATGACCAAGATGATGAAAGATGTTGAGGGAAATGCAGGTACATGGAGCTGAGGTTGAAATCAGATCAGCTGTGATCTTATTGAGTCGCAGAGCAGGCTTGAGGGGCCGAGTGGCCTTCTTTTATTCCTCATTCGTATGCTCGAATAAACAAGAGAACAAAGAAACTCGAATCTTGTCTGATTACTGGGGGTGAGGAGGGTATTTGAGCTCTCACTTCATCCACACAGTGGGTTAGTTCCTTTTTATCCCCTGACCAGCTTCAATTAATATGTGGAAAATTTTAATTAAATCAGCCCTCATCCTTCCAAATTCCACTGAATACACGATTCCTGTTGAGATGATGCATTTTGATAGGAGTCGAGAACATACAAAACAGGAGCCAGAGTTGTCAATTCTACCATCACTTTGTACCCTATTATAATTTCCCTGTTTCTGATTGTGAGGAGATCCTATACTCGTCTTCACTAATCTTTTACTATCAATCTTCAATTAAGAGTTTAATGATGATCTTGAAACCGTTGTTGTTCGTCAGGAAAAACCCATCTGGCACACAAACGTCCTTTAGGGAGGGAAACTGGCATCCTTACCGGATCTGGCCTACATGTGACTCCAGCCAGTCAGCAATGCAGTTGAGTCTTGACAGCCCTCTGGACAATCATGGATGGGCGATGAATTCTGGCCGAGCCAGTGATGCCCACATCCTATGAATGAAAGAAAAAGAAAATGTTATTGGTTTGTTTGGTCTCTACAAGCATACTCTCATGTTTTATTTTCTAGTTTTTATTAAATCCCTTTGCTGAAATCTAAACTGTTCCCAATCCTTAGGTCTGTTGTTTTATTTACCTAATTTGTATGCTGTTTCCTTAATTTCAATACCCGTTCATTTCCCTTTCTCTGCCGTTGTTTGATCATGTTTCCCATTTTCTTCTTATGCCAGACTGGGATGAATAACTTTTATACCTTATCCACACCCTCTTTCAATGTTTGCCATTACCCATCTCTGATCACCCATTTAAATACTGATCCACAATTTATCACAAGGAGCTCATGCCTCATACCATAATGACTTGTTTCATTTAATTATGGGACCCTAGTCTCAGAAACACCATAGAACATAGGGCCTGTACTGTGCTGTACCGTTCTTCGGCCCACGATGTTGTGCCAAACTTTTACCCTAAACCTAAGGTCTATCTAACCTCCACGCATACCTTATACTATCATTCATATGCCTGTCTAATAGCCGCTTAAATGCCCCTAATGAGGCCGACTCCACTACCCTCTCCGGCAATGCATTCCACGCCCCTATCACTCTGAGTAAAGAACCTACCTCTGACGTCTCCCCTATATCTACCTCCACTCACTTTGAAACTATGCCCTCTTATAATAGCTACCTCCACCCTAGGAAAAAGTCTCTGGCTGTCCACTCCATCTATACCTCTGATCATTTTGTACACCTCTATCAAGTCAATATCACTCTCCATCCTAATGAAGAATTCTATCCTATTGTGGTCACTCTTCCTTAATGGCCCATGCTCAACTGGATTGTCAATTATTCCTTTCTTCATTACCCAATATCCATCTGCTTCTTCAATGTATTGATTCATAAAATTGTACCATATGCACGCTATGATTTCCTCCTCTGTCGTATTGCTACAGTTGTGATTTGCTCAATTTATATGTCGGTTGAATGGCACCCATAATTACAGCCATGACTTTATTCCTTATATCTCTAACTCCCATTCTAACTCTAACTCTAACTCCCCAATATTACTGCAGCTTTGGGTCTATATGCAACACTAATATCATTTTCTGTCCATTAGTGTTTCTAAGCTCAACCCATACAGATTCTACTTCACCACAGCCTATATCCTGGCTCACATCATATTACTTTGCTGTTTTAATCAGCAGTTCGAGCCTAATCCTTTTCCTTTTTGCCTGCCCAACCTATCCTCCTTATGACAACCCATGAATTCCAGGTTTCAATCTAATAAACTTCCACTGAACCACTTTGAATATATGTGCACAAGACCAAAACCTGCACATGGGATTCGAGATTTGGTCGCTCCCCTTCCCTGTGCAAATGAAACAGAACATCTTTACATTGATGCTTAATTCCTATCATAATAAAGGATACAGCCAATTGGCTTTCTGGGACACAAAGATCTTGATCAATTGGGTCAATGGGCTGAGGAGTGGTGGATTGAATTTTATTTGGGTAAATTTTGTTCGAGCAAAATGCAATAATTCACAAGGACAGGAATATAGAATTAATGGTAGGGCTCTGGGTCGTGTTGTAGAACAGAAAGACTTTGGGTTTCAGGTCCATCATTGTTTGAAATTTG